CCTGGGCCCAAGACACATTGTTTTATTTTGTTTTTTTTCCTCAGTGGGAAGAAGGGAGGTGGCAGGGAAGGGATGATTCTTTTCTAACTTCTCAGGCCAGAACTCTGAGCAGAGGCAGCTCAGTAGCATCCTGAGGCAGCTCAGTAGCATCCCCAGGGGCATAAACCAAAGAAGGAACTTAATGAGACCAATAACCTCTTGTACACTTTAGAGAAGATGTGAAGTCAGAAGAGATGCATACTAGCAGACAATGGAATATTTACACAGCACTTGAAGATTAAAAACTGTGAACCTTTGATTCTATACACTGCTCAACTATCACTCAAGAGTTAGTATGAAACATGGGCATTTTCCAAGAAAGATTGAGTTAATTCACCATTCACAAGGTACTGGGTTGGACTTGGGGAAGCTGGCAAGATTAAAATAAAAAGTGCCCATTCTTTTCCAGTATTGCAAATGTTGCCCAAATACCCCCAGGAGGATTCACATCTGAATCTGAGACAGGAAAGGGACAATACAGACCTGAGCTATTTTTGCTCGGGCCTCAGACTTTATGAGCTTTAAAGGTTGGCTGATGTTGGGTGACAAATTTGTTCAGGGGTGAACAAGGAGTCTCCACATCAGCCATCTATAGCTCTGCAACAGCCATGAATAACGAAGCCATGCGTATATATAGTGTGTGTGTGGTGGTGGTGGGGGGGTTTGCAAGCGGGTTTAATCTGGATGTGTTCAAATCCCAGTTCTGCTACTTTTTAACTCTGCAGCCTTGGGCCAGTTAATTAGCCTCTCTGTGCCTCAGATTCTTTGTAAGGACTTTCGAAAGCACCTACTTCTCTCAGTCAGACTGAGAATTATATGAGATAATCCAGTTGAAGCAGTTAGTCTAGAGCTTGGGCCAATAGTAAGTGCTCAATAGATGCTTATATTAAACTGTGCTTTTGCTAGTCTTCAGCTAGGGATTTACTTTCGAGTCCTACCCAACCCCCTCACCCACATAGAGCCCCACTTGGAGAAGAGGAAACCAAGGCCCTAAGAGGTAAAGTGGATTGTCTAAAATTACCCAATTTGTTAGAGGAAGAAGCCATGGTCCTCAAGTTCAAGTCTCCTCCTCTGGTGGTCATTTGCCTTCTACATACAATATCTATTCTCGTATACATCCTCCTAAATTAGGTCACAAGGGAACTGACAACCCACTTTCCAAATCCCGCCACCTTTCAAGACACTCAGAGCTTCCAGGCCATGTGAGAAGAAAGCAAACACGTGATCTGTAAGAAAAAAGAAGCCTCTATAGCTCTGAGACAGGGCAGATTATCTTAACTGTAATATTTTGATTTCAGAATGAGATTGAGAGTGCCTCTAGGCCAAAGGCCTATTGGAAGGAATGAGGGCAAGAGGTCTCATATTTGGTATAACAAAGCTAGTGGAGTGGAGTGGGATTTTGGCTGAGTCCAAACTAAGACACAGAAATGTTTGGAAATTGTCTGAGGCATTGGTCATTCGGGGGCAGCTCTACTTGCATGGAGAACAGGGTCTTGAAGTAAAGACTTTATGTACCATTGTTCCCCAAGGGACAGAGCCAGAGCCCAGGCAGAGGGTGAGAGGTGGCAGAAGGGAGGAGGAACAGGACAGGGTGACATGTGCTCTCCACCTGGGTCCCAAGGACTGGATGGGTAGAAAGAGTTCCCCCATGGAAATAGGAAGATTGTGGTTTTGAAGATCTCTGTGGGCTTTTGATGCCTTAGGGGGTAGGGACAGAGACCAGATAGAATATGGAAATGGGAGGTGAGGAAGGGTAGTCTGGATAGAGGAATTGGTTTAGTTTTCCAGGCACAGGAACTAAGTCTGAAAGTCTGAGCTAAGGTGGTGGGGGTCGGGGAGAGATGGTGGCAGGAAGACTGAAGCTGCTTTTGCCACATGGGCCTCACTGATACATAGGGTGGATGCAGGGCTGTTTCATTGTGCAGGTGACAAAGTGTGGTACAGAATGGAGACAGGAAGAACCACTCTGCCTTCCATGAATCCGTGGGAGATTTCAGCCAAAGCTACCCCAAAGGAGGGCAGCACAATTGAAGCCCCTGGATCATTTGCAGCTGTGAGTGCCCCAGCATCCATGCCCCACCCTGCAGGGGCCTCCAAGTTCCCATGGCCAGCAGCTGGGACCAGGCACAGGATGGCCTCATGTGGCAATGTGGACAGCTGACCTCCACAAGGCAGGCAAAATGAGAGAGGACTATCCCAGGGAACAGGAAAGTGCCCAGCTCTTCCACAAATAACTGGGGGAAACTTTCCAGGGACTGTGGGCCTGTAACACGCAGGTGGTGACATAGGTCAGTGAGAGCTGAGTTCTCACTGCTTATGGGATCTTATTTTCACCCACAGGCCAGTGAGGAATAGAGAAGCTTGAAACACCATTTTACAGCCGACAAAATTGTCTCCAATACTTGGGTATGTAATAGCCTAGCTCCATGTAGATGCTGAGTGGCTCTTGAAACATTTCTAAATATAACCTTTGGGGTGGGTAGAGGAGTAGGGACTGCACTCTGGCAGGGTATTACTGAGCTTCATTTTCTCCATTTATCTCTCTAATGACGTTAGCTTAAAGGAGTGGAGAGGCAAAAGCAAAAGGAAGAAAGATGGAGGAAAAAGAAAGAAAAGAATTGTTATTACCACTATTGTGGCTGTAAGAAAATCAGTTTCATTTTTCCGACATTTTCCTTCGTATGCACATTTTCCAGATATAAGTTGTTATTCCATGTCATCAATTTCTTCTTCAGTAGAGAGTAAAATCAACAGTGCATTCCCAGGCTACAAGCAACCCTGGTGGCTCACAGATATCCAAACTCCATGCAGGCCAGAATCGGGCCATGTATGAGCCAACCGGCCCAAAGAAGAGGGGAAAGCTGGGTCCCCAGGGGCCAGCTGCCTCCCTGCCTGGAATTTAGGTTTCCCAACTTATTGCACCCTCTTTGTCCCTAGGCAACAGGACTGGTTATAGATGCCTCTGCAGGCAGCCCACAGAGCCAGATTCTTATCTACAGTCCCATGGGGCTGCCAATTTGTCTGCCAATTTTTTTTTTTTTTCTGAGAAGCATTTTCCTCTTCCTAGAAGAGGACCCAATGTTTAGGGTAATGGGGCAGTGGACTTAAGTCCTCAGAGAGGTTTTAATTTTTTTTTTTTTAAATAGAGGCATGTTTTATTTATTTATTTGTTTGTTTGTTTTGTTTATACATGCACTGGGTACAGTCAGAAGCGCGGGAGGGTGAGAGAATTCACCAGAGCCAGAGCGGGGAGCAGAGCAGGCAGAAGGACCGAAGTACACTGCTGAGGGGAGCAGCGGGCGGCAGGAGAGGTCTGCGCGCCATGTGGGACCCTCCTCTGGTGGCTGGGGAGCAGCCGGGGAGCAGCCGGGGAGCAGCCGGGGAGCAGCCGGGGATCGAACCGGCGCCGCAGAGGCCGCGGGCAGCTTCGCAACCCAGCGCTCAACCGCTGCGCCACCAGGGAGGCCCGAGAGGTTTTAATTTTTGTCCCTGTCTTTCCATCCCTGCTGCCATAACCTTAGATTGAGTCTCCTGGAAAGTCGATCACCTGTATTATTGAAGAGGGGTCTCATAACTGCCCTCTGACCCCTTCCCCCAAACTGCCTCTAAACTGTGGCCAGGTTAACTTTCTTAAAATTTCTAATCATGTTGCTCCTACTGTTTTAAAGAGATCTTTGAGTAATCTGATTATGTGGACAATTACAGAATAAATAACTTAGCCGGTTAGTATCAAATTCCCCCATTATCTTGTTTTCCTGTCTTTGTAGCCTTCACCATGATTTCAACCTTTATTACTTTTGTGGATTTTTTGCTTGCTATTTGTCTTCTCCTGGAACAAAGTTTTCATTTGATCAGGGTTCTTATCTCATTGTCCCCCAAACAGTGGCTGGCACATGTTAGATAATAAATATTGATTGAATGAAGAGCTCAATAAATCAAATTCTGTTAGCCAGTTAATTCTGTTTTTGTAACTCAACTTTATTTATTTTATGATTACAAATGTAGTACATGCTTACTGTAGAGAATCTGGAAAGTACAGAGAAGTAGAAAGAAGATAAAACACCAATAATCCCACCATTTGAAGGCAAACACTGCTCATATTATGTTCTAACCATCTATGCCTGTTAAAGACCAAGACCCTTAGCAAGAGCGCTGGCCATGAAGCACAATATTCAAGAGGAGTGAGAGCACTTAACAACAACTGAGGGGCTCACTGAGCAGTCAGAGCGAGAGATTTCATACTGAGGGACAAGACAAGGGCCATAAACAACAGATCAAGGAGTCAAAAGCTGACAACACAAGAACAAGGTGATTTATGGAAAGAATGTAGTGAGATGGTACTTGTTAAGAATCTAACCCAGTACCTGTCACATAGTACAGAATCAATAAATGGTAACCATTACTATGATTATTGTCATGGGTTAAAACACATGGTTCAAGATGGAGACTATAAACAGGGCAAGAGCCCTGGAGACCCATTTTAGTTATTATGAGTTGGGGTATACAGGGACAAGGCTAGTGGGTGAAAAGGCTGGTGGTGTAGGAGTATCACTCTCCTTATAAACTCCCCTGCCAGGTGAAATGGGACCAGGGCTTCCTCAAGTTTGCCTGATGACACATGGCAAGACACTCTGAGGTACTTTTGAGGTAGGACATGGTTTCTCCTGCCTAAACTTCTCCCTGGAATAAAAACTTGGACTGACTTTGATGGTGATGGGAGCTCAGAACATCATACACCAAACATTCTGAAAGTCCACACTCTGATTGTCGGGGCAGATCACAGGCATGTGGGTGAAAGAGAAGGCCAAGCCAGCCAAGTGGCAGATAGAGTGGATGTGCCTGAAGTGGGAAGCTGAAGGGGGAAGGCCACAAGATTTATGATGTCATTGAATGGAATGGGTCCAAGAAGCAGTCCTCAAATTAGCAGCTGATTTAAATATCACAGAAGAATCCGGGGAGCATTACTTGTGGGTGGGGGCCTTCTGATGGCCTCTGCTCTGTCGAAGGCGGTCGTGCAGACCCTCTTGGGGGTCTCCATGCTCTTTCAAGTAGTAACAGCGTTTGGGAACGTGTCGGTGCTGGGGGTGAGAGAAAAAAAAAAAAACAGCAGTAGTAAGAGCCTCACTTTCTATAACAAGGGTGCTCCGCTGGAATAATTTCAGTAACTTAGCAGGACAAGGAACTTGGCTAAAGTGTCTTCTTGGATAAAGGTGTGACTGAGGACCAAGCTAGCCCAATGCCTTAGCAGCTTGGGTCCACAACACATGTGGCTGTCAGTGGGACGGAGCTCCCTAAATGGGACCCCTTATCTGCCCTAAATGGGACCCCTTCTCCTAGAACTCAACTTGAAATAGGTGGATAATTGGGACTCAGTCTGGCCAGTTCCCTCATACATCAGAAGACCTCATCCTTTGACCATCCCAGACACTCAGTAACTTGGGTAGAGTATTGCTCCCCAAAGTGGTTAATATACCCAAAATAATTGCATAGCCAGATCCGCTAATGAAACTCCAGGTTGGGTGTCATGGTCTGGGAGCTCCGTGCCTCCCCTTTACTGCTTCCTTATTCTACTCAAAGGAGCAGAGTCTATTCCCCATCACTACCGCCTCATTTTTCTGCCCAAAAACCATAAGTGTATTTCCCCATCATTACCTCCTCAGTCTGCTGATGAGAATTCAGTTCATTCTCCATTGCTTCCTCATTATTCCGCTTACATGCTGATGGGAGAACCTGGCTTGAGCTGCCCGGGGAACCCTTCTCTTCAGCCAGCTGGCATTCTGTGTAGAGAGACCTGTCTATCAGCTCCTTTAGGCTGCCAGCCACCTTCAAGAAGATCCTGCCCATTTTGGTGGTAACAGCTTCCGAGAGCCCTTCCAGAAACCTGGTCCGTAGAATGGCATCAGACCAAGACAAATGTCGGGCCAGCAGCAGGAAGTCAGTGGCATACTGCCTGACAGACTTCTGGCCCTGCTTGGGATGGCAAAGAACGGCACTGAGGATGTCTATCTCGGATAAGGAGTCATATAAGCCCTGTGATCTTCTCAGAAAAGATTTGTTTTCAGCTGAGAGGGGGTTTCCCACCTCCATCTGCAAGATGGACCACCTCTCTGCTGCCCCCAGATGAAGAGACACCAAAAATGCCATTTTCTCTGAATCATCCAAAAATCCCTTCATTTGCTTTTCCTCATCAATCTCCATCTCCTCCTCCACAGAACCTGACCCCCGGGCGGCTTCCTGCTCTTCTAATAGGTAGCAGAGTGCTGGGGTCAGCATGCCAAAGGATGGGACTTCTTTTGGTGGTGGGTTCATTGTCTCAGCGGTTGTAGTAGTCACATGTGGTGTGGACTTTGATCCAGAGGCCGTGACTTTGATGTGAGAGGCAGATGTTTCTCCAGAGTTTGTGGCTTTCGTTTCTAGGGTGGACATCATTCCAGAGGCTGTGGCTGCCCTTTGTGGTACGGATATGGTGCCCGGGACTGGGGCCCTCATCGTTGGTGTGGAAATCTCTCCAGAGGCTGTGACTTTCATTTGTGGCCTGGATATCCCTCCAGAGGCTGTGGCACTCAGAAGTGGCGTAGACATGATTCCAGAAGCTGAGGTTCTCATAAGCGGTGTGGACATTGCTCCAGAAGCTGAGGCTGTCATTTGTGGTGCAGGCATCCTCCCGGAAGTTGCGTATGTCATTTGTGGCAAGGATGTAGATCCAGAACTCGTGACGCTTGTTTGAGGTGTGGACATTGCTCCTGACGCCATGTTTTTCATTTGTGGCATAGATATCTCTCCAGAAGCCATGGCTGATGTCAATGGCATGGGCATTGTCCCAGGTGCTGTGGTTCTCATTACTGGTTTGGCCATACCCCCAGAGGCCATGGCTGCTGTTTGTGCCATGGACATTGTTCCAGAAACTGGAGCTCTCATGAACTCTGTGGATGCAGCCTCAGATACTGTAGATCTCCTCAGTGGTGTGGACAAAGTCCCACAGACGGGGGCCCTGACTTGTGGTGGAGACATCAGTCCAAAGGCCGGGGCTCGCATTGATGGTGTGCATATCTTTCCAGAAGCTGTGGGCATCATGTGTGGTGTGGACGTTGCTCCAGAGGCCGGGGCTCTCATCAGTGGCATGGAGACCCCTCCTGAGGCTGTGGCGGTCATTTGAGGCGCAGACATTTCTGCAGATGCCATGGATCTCATTAGTGGTGTGGATATCGCCCCAGAGACTGGAGCCCTCATTTGTGGCACGGACATCATTCCAGAGGCCGTGGCTGTCATTTGCGGAGTAGACATCGCTCCATAAGCTGGAGGTCTCAGAGGTGTGGCAATCTCTCCAGAAGTTGAGGGTCTCATTAATGATGGAGAAATCTCTCCGGAGGATGAAGCTCTTGTGAGCAGTGCAGACATCTCTTCAGAGTCAGAAGCTCTCACTAGTGGTGTGGAAATCACTCCGGAGGAGGAGATTCCCATTTTTGGTGTGGACATTATTTCCGAGGCTGGGACTTGCATCTGCATTGGGGCCATCCCTCCAGCGGTCATGGATCTCATGAATGACATGGATGTCGCTCCAGAGTCTTGGGTGCTTGTTGGCTGACTGGGCATCTTTCCAGAGGCTGTGCCTCTCATCGGTGCTGTGGACATCGTTCCAGACCCAGAGGCTCTCATTAGAGGCGTGGGCATCCCTGTAGAGGCAGTGTCTGTCATCTGTGGCATGGACATGGCGCCAGAAGCTGGGTCTCTCATTAACATTGTGGCTATTTCTTCATAAGCTGCAGTTGGCATTTGCTGCATGAATATTGCTTCTGGGGCTTTGGGTGTCATTAGTGGTTTGGACGATGTTCCCGAGGCCATTGCTCTCATGTGCATCGTGGATGCCACTCCTGATGTTGTGTCTCTTGTTAAAAGTGTGGACATGGCTCCAGAGGCTTTGGGTGTCGTCAGTGGGGTGGAAAATGCTCCAGAGGTCGTGGCTTTCCGTTGTGACATGGACATGGCTCCAGAGACAGGGGCTCTCATCTGCGGTGTGGACGGTGACCCGGAGGCTCGGGTGGTCAGTTGTGGCATGGACATTGTTTCAGAGACTGAGGCTGTACTTGGCTGCATGGACATCACTCCAGAAACTGGGGCTCTCCTTAGTGGTGTGGATATCATCCCAGAAGCTGACACTCTCACTCGAGGTGTGGACATTGCCCTCTTGGCTGTGGCTTTCAGAAAGCCTGTGGACACAGCTCCAGAAGTCCTGGCCATGACTGACTGTGTGGACATCACTTTAGAGGCTGCAGTTGACATTTGCTCCATGGACATGGCTCCAGAGGTGGTGGCCATCATCGGTGGGGTGGACACTGCTCCAGAGGCTGGGTCTGTCTTTAGCAATGTAGACATATTTCCAGAGGCTTGGGTTCTCATGCGCAGTGTGGACATTGCTCCAGGGTCTGAGGCTCTCAGCAGTGGTGTGGACATCATCCTGGAGGCTGCTGCTCTCAGCGGTGGAGTAGACACAATCTGAGAGTCTAGATTTTGTGTTAACTGTGGAGACATCGTGCCTGAGCCTTGGGCTGCTATCAGCTGGGTGGGCATCGCTCCAGAGGTCAGGGCCGTCATCAGCAGAGGGGACATCGCTTCAGCATCTGGGGTTGGCTTTGGCAGTGTGGACATTTCTCTAGCATCTGGGACTGACAGGAGTGTTGTGGACATTGCTGCAGAGCATGGAGCTGTTGTTAGGGATGAGGACACTGCTCTGGATCCTAGGCCTGACATGAGCTGAGTGGACGTTTCCCCAGAGTCTTGGGAGTTCGTTGGCTGGCTTGACGGTTCTCCGGAAGCTAGGGCTGACATTATCAGGGAGGATATAGTTTCAGAGTCCGTGCCTGACATTAGCAGTGAAGATATCTCTCCAGTCTCCAGTGCAGTCATTAGCACTTTGGACATTGCTTCAGTGTCTTCATCTGTGATTTGCAATGGTGACATTTCTTCAGAGCCTGGAGCTGGCATTGGCTGTGTGGACATTACTCCAGGGTTTATATCCGGCATTAGCAGTGGGGATAGCTCTCCAGGATCTGGGGCTAGCATCAGCGATGTGGACATTGCATCAGAGGACTGGGTGTTCATTATAGGGGTGGACATGGCTCCAGAGGATGGAACTGGGATGGCCAAGGGTGATATGTCTGCAGAATCTGGGGCTGCCATTAGTGCTGTGGACATTGTCCCAAAGTCAGGAATTGTCATCAGTCCTGGGGACATTAAGCCATAGTCTGAAGTAGACAGCAATGGAGACAATGTCCCAGAATCTGAGGTTGGCATCAGCAATGGGGACAGTGTCCCAGAGTCTGAGGCTGGCATCAGCAGTGGGGACAGTGCCTCTGAATCTGAAGCTGGCATTAACAACGGGGACAGTGCCCCAGCATCCGAGGCTGGCATCAGTGATGGGGACAATGGTCCACAATTTGGTGTTCCCATCAGAGAGGCTGACATGGTGTCAAAGGCTGGGGATGTCATCAACTGTGTGGACATCCCTCCAGGGTCTGACGCTGAAGTCGAGACTATAGGCTGTGCACAGGAATGCAGAATTTGGACCTCTGCTCTGGTGTCTGACATTGGTCCAGGGATGGTGTTCCCCCTGTTTTGGGAGTCGGTATTATCCTCCCTCAGCATGCTGTTGAATCGCAGTGAATGTAAGGGTATTGACATATCTGCCATGGCCACAAGATAATATGGAGGGAACCCCTAAGGTGCTGATATTGGGATCTTGCTGAAGCCCAAGTGGCGAGAAAATCTGCAAACAGGAAACAAAGTTAGCAGTCAACAGTCAGCGTCAAGAAGACTGGGAAATATACAAATGATTCACAATGGAGATTTGTTTTTATGTGTTACCAGCTGGGTGCATTGGACCTGGGTCTATCGAGTTAAAGAAGCTATGCAGCAATGAATGAATTTGGAGTTAGGGTAAATATTCCTTCTGCCTCTATGCTTTTCAAACCAGCCCACTTGGTCACACAGCACAGCCTTAGTTTATAAAAATGCTATAAATGCCAGTCAAGGCAGCAGCCAGAGTCTGCGCAGGCCTGGATCAAATGAAGCAGCAGCACCACCTTCAGGAGAACTTTGAGAAGTGCAGGTTCTTAGGCTCTGCTCTTTGCCCACTACAGTAGTCAGTCACAAGCCAGCCAAGGCACTAACAGGCCTGATGGAAAGCCCTTTGCCCCAGGATAATTAGTTGTTCCTTGGGCTCATAGAGTCTTGCCAATGCTTAAATCCGCATTTTACTACTCTGAAGACCCTGAATTTCTTCCTCAGGAAAAGGAAGGCATTTATCTGATCAAGGATAAGGAACAGCATTCCATGAACTGAAAAATCTTGTGACTTATAATTATTGTATTAATAACAACAACAACCCCCCTACTGTTATCACAGATTGTCCACTTAGTGTTTTCCATGCACTGTTCTTTAGGAAACTGAGCACAACTTTAATCTGCCTGTAATTCCAGGGTTTTGCGAGCGTTGTCCCACTTGAATCTTATTCCCTGAGCAATAGATATTCCTCTTCTTCCCATTTTACCATTTTTTTTCTCAGAGGAACCAGGGTTGGGGTTAAAATAAGGTCACTGAGACAGTAACCAAATGCACATCGTTATCACTCCTTCTTCAGGGTTTCCCAGACTTTGGTATTCCTGAGGCTGCATTCAACTACATTTCTCCACAGCTCACCCAAAGCCTGTCGATACCATGTACAAATTTCAAATTTCTCTAATGACATGTGAGTCGGCAATCCCAGAGCCTCACCCCTCCAACTCATGCCAGAAGCAGCCCAAGAAGGGGCTTCTTGGCACTTGCCTTGGAAACCAACACACACGTTATACTAGAATGTGGACACACCTCCACAACCTGCCCAGGTCAAAAATGGAAAGCACGCTCATTTGAGACAATCTTGCCACAGCCCTCCACCTCATGACTTCGGGCCTCCGTGACAATAACGAGAGTACTAGCCACAAAAATACGCACAGAGAACATTTCCTGAGCAAGCACCGACTGGCAGGCACCCTGCTAGGCACTTTACATGCATCACTTCATTTCGAGCCCACAGCAACACTAAGAGATTCCAGTAGCACTTTATCTTTATCTTACAAAGGAGAAAAACCAAGGCCCAGAGAAGCTTAACAATTTACCTGCAGTCACGTAGATTCGAAGTCTGTCCACCTCCAGAATCTCCTATCCTTCCCCACTTTGCTATGATGATCTGCCTCGCCCACCCTCTCTTGCCCTTATTACTCAGTCACGTTATCAAGGCCCCACCCCACCCCATCTCCAGCCTGGCCAAGTCCAGGAGGGGGTGTAGTAAAAGAAATACTCACCTCCTGCTAGCTCCTCGGCTCCTCTAGAAATTGGTGCAATTGGAAAAATGAGTCAAAGTGTGGTCATATGTGTCCACCTCCCATCTCCAGAAAAATCCCTGTACCTGACACAATTTCCCACTAGGTAAAACCCAGAAGATCTTACCTTGCCCGTTAGCGGGAAGAGGAAGAGTGCGTCCTTTGCGCCCCTAGCTCTTTTAGTCTGGCCAATTTACTGTTGCCCCATGCCCAGCCAGTTCATTAAAGCAAGACCCAATACCAGCAGCTGTTCTCTGCAATCTCCCTTAGCTATCCCCTGCCACGCCCCCCTCCTGCCCGCCAGCCAGCCAGCCTGCCTGCCCGCCCACCCGCCCCACTGCTCCTGACTTGCTAGTGCTTGCTCTGTCTCCCTGGTCCCAGATTCCTGCCTCTATATAGGCTCTGACATTTGCCTCTGGCCGCCTTTCACTTGACAGCTCCGCTTTAGCACTTGGCCTGTGCAACCCCGCCCTTCTTCCCCTTGACCCCCAAGAGTTGCACCAGTCCACTGTGGCCACCTCTGGCTGTCCCAAAGGAAAGAAGAGATTCCCATAGTAAAGGGATGAGAGTAGAAGTGTCCTGGCTCAGGAAATGAAACATATTCTCTGGGGCTGAGCAGAAGCACAAGTCCTGGGAGTCAGGAGCTGCCACCCACATGACGGAAGTGCAGGCAGCGGGTAGAGGAAAGGGAACTGGGGCTAGACGTTGAGCCACAGCCATGTCAAAAAAGTTCAAAGAGGCTCAGGTACAGGGGAGTCAGGGTTTGGGAGGGTAAGGGTTTAATAACGTCCTGCAATGGTGATAATTAGGGGAAAAAAAATTGCCCCAATGTTAGAGACACAGAGGGAATTCTGGCACCCATTGTCCCTGCCTCAGGGCTAGGATTCAATAGTGAGGTTCCAGCACTCTCAGGCAGCTGGCAAGAAAAGCACACCAATCTTGAGCATACCAGGTGAGGTCTTGCTCATAGAAGCAGAGCTTCAGTCTGCTTTCTAGAACTGGGGCACAAGGTCAGAGTACAACTAGCAGAAAAGTTACCAGAAACCTATAACGTTCTGAGGCGATGTCTCTCAAACTCCCAGACTGGGAAGAGAATTAACTTCTCAACCAACTGGCTTTGACCGAAGTCTTCCCATATGCCAAGAATTGCGCTGAGGGCTTTACAAGCATTCTCTCATTTAATCTTGACAGCTACCCTGTGAGCTGGATCCTTTTACTTCCCAGTTTACAGATATTAAAACTGTGTCTCAGCAAAGTGAATCGACACAACCAAAGACAGCTCAGTTTGATGCCAGAGTTCATGGTAGCCTGTTACTCAAAAAGAAAAATTCCAATTGCTTTCCCCTCTCCCCTAAAAAAGAAGTCTACAAAAAGTCAACAACAACAATAATCATTATATCCCAAAATAAAAGCCAACCTTTATAGTATCATGTACTTTGTTAAGTACTTTTTTTCTACATGATACTCACAACAACCCTATGAAGTAGGGACTATTTATATACTGAAGAGGCAGCAGAAACACAGAGAGGTTAGCCAGTTTATTCAGTGTCACACAGCACTGTTGTTTATGATCATAAAAATTGGGACATAATTTAAATGTCAAAGCTAAAACATAATTCAGTTATTTAACAACCTTTGAATATGATGATCTGATTTTGATGAAATAAATGTATATAATTTAGCATAGAAAAATACAGTCTGGAAGGATACATACCAAAATGTGAATAATAACTATGGTACCTGAGTGGCTGGATTAAAGGGGATTTTTACATGTGCTTTTTAAAAAAATCTTTTTTTTCTTTTCTTATTTGTATATAATGGATCCATATTATTTAGAAAAAAATAAGTTATATTTCTTTAAATAAAAACCCCTAGGGTTCTGTCTCTAGCCCTCTCCCCTCTTTTTTCATGTGTGCTTTCTCCAAGGCTCCCCAAGATCTCCTCACCCAAGCGACCTTTCTCCCCCAAAAAGTTTCAGTGTTTGCACCACTTGGACCTTGGGTCAGTAGTGACCTCTGGAAAATGTCTCCAGTGACTTGCTTTTATTTATTTATTTACTTATTTATTTTTCAAAATGATTTTTTTGTCTTTCTAACTTTTATTTATGTTGAAGAATTATACAAAGTATCTAGGCATAGAGCATCAAGATAAAAACTTGAAATCCTACATGTAAATAAAGCTAGTCCTCAGCTGCCCCCCCCCAACCCCCAATCCCATTGCTCTCTCTGTTCGCAGTTGGGTGTGTCTCCTTCCAAACTTTTTCTAGCTGCAATGGCATTCAGATTTCATATCATGCAATTGCTTGCAAAACCCAGTGTGTGCAAAGAGCTACAGTAAAAAACCATACTGGCCCTGGTCACTCCAGGATTCCAAGTTCCGGTCCATTGCAACCATTCAACATCAGTCTGCTTCTAAGAAGGCGACTGAGAGAGTTCTAGCATGCTCAGCCCATTTGGGTCACAGATTTCTGTTTTATTAATGCCAGTGTCCCTACACACAGAGAGAAGGGAGGCCTTCTAAGGAAGGAAAAGCCCAGAAATTGCTACTTAGCATCTCCAGGTCCCTCACGTCCTGCCCAGTCCACACTGATCAATACAGTGAGGAGGTATAGCGCTCCTGCCGCCTCACAAAAGGTAATTGAATTTGGGGTATTGCATGGCTAGCTGCTCAGGGAAATAAGAATAAACAAGAGACCGTTCAATATGTCAACGAATAGCTTTCAAGCTCTTGAAAATAAACCTTTCTCTAGGTTCTCAATAGTATTCTCTCCTCTAGCTCTAGCAAGCAGGCATTTCAGATAACTGAAAATAGACCACCTCAGGATAAAGAAATAACGTGGTCTACTTGAGGGTCCGCTGCCTTCCCAGGTCAATCAGGGAGAGAGAAAGCCTCCTCACCTTCCTGCTCCCCAATAGCCCTGACACTTAAAATGCCCACCCAGCTCTTCATAAATAGAGGGGAGAAATAGCAGGCATTTGCTAAGTGCTCATTATGCCAGGTACCGGGCTCAGCGCTTTACATGCATTACATTATTTATTGCACAATAAACCAATGAAGTGGGGGTTTTACCCCCCCTTTTTTATAAATCAGCTAAAGAACTGGAGTAGAGAGAAAATAAAATCAAGTAACTTACCTTGGCTCTCACAGCCGAGAGGGAGTGAAGCTGGTCTTGTCACTCGGGTCTGTCTGACTCAGCTGGTGCTCTTAACTCACGGGAAAGTCACACTGTCTTCAAGTCTCTGAAGGGCTGTCATATGGAAGAGAGGGTAGGTGTGTTCTGAGTAGCTCCAAAGAGAAGGATTTGACTGTTAGTTGGGAATT